AGAACTGAAGGAGTTGAGCAACGCAGCATATCCCAGCCCAGCCAAAGCCAGTAAGGAGGTGCTGGGAGCTGGGGGGGAGTGGGGTCCTGGCCATGCATGGACAAGTGAGAGCTGGTCCCTCCAGGAACTGAGGTCAGAGAGAAGTGCTAAAGCTTCAGGCTCAGGAGAAGCCCTGAGGAGTGTTAGGGAGGGTGAGGAAAGCAAAAGCAGGACTGGTGTCCTGGAGAGGAGGATGCCAGTGTGCTCTGCTGCTTGAGAGGAAGGGCTGTGGTACAGAGGCAGGCAGGGAATAATTCTTTGGGCTCCAGGGCCGGCTTTAGGGGTTCCAGTGTGCTCCCCAGGACCTGCCAACCCCTCAGGTTTGTGCTGAGTGATGAGATTGTTCCCTTTGCACTGCAGAGCCTGCAGAGAAGAGCACCAAGAACTCAGAACCGGAGAACTTGGATCCATCCCGGCTGGACATCCGCGTTGGCAAAGTGATCAGTGTGGAGAAGGTACAGGCATGATGAGGAGAGGGGAGTGACCTTCCCACCTGGTGACGTGGGCACTCGGTGTGTGTGTGGGGGGAGGACCTGACACCTTCTTCTTTTCTCCCCTCCCCTGCTCCTCACCCTGCTCCTGCTTGGCAGCACCCGGACGCTGACAGCCTGTACGTGGAGAAGATTGACGTGGGGGAGCCCGAGCCCCGCACCGTGGTCAGTGGCCTGGTGCAGTTTGTCCCCAGGGAGCAGCTGCAGGACAGGCTGGTGGTGCTGCTCTGCAACCTCAAGCCCCAGAAGATGAGGGGTGTGGAGTCGCAGGGCATGGTGCTGTGTGCCTCCAGGTGAGGGAGGGGGCAGCGGGGCGTACCCCTCCAAGGCTGCATCTGGACCTTCTCCTCTCCTGCCCCAGAGCCTGTTGGTGCTGAGGGGTGGGTGGGTGTGACTCTGGGTGACTCTGGTTCCTCCCCTGCAGCCTGGGGGAGCCACGGCAGGTGGAGCCCCTGGACCCCCCAGCTGGGTGCTGTGCCGGGGAGCGCGTCTACGTGGAGGGCTACGAGGGCGGGCAGCCCGACGAGGAGCTCAAGCCGAAGAAGAAGGTCTTTGAGAAGCTGCAGGTGAGGGACTGGGCCACAGCCTGGAGCAGCTGGGGCTCCACTCATCAGCTGGGGCCACCTAGATGCCAGTCCCCACCTCTGGGGGACCCCAAATGACCTATTTCCTTCTCAGTTCCCCTTTTTACTGCTCCCTGCTGGGGAGGACAGACCTCCCCACCAGCTCAGCAACAGGCTAGAAGTCCCAGCCTGACCCTGCCTCCCCTGCTCTGCTCCACAGGCTGACTTCCATGTCTCTGAGGACTGTGTTGCCCAGTGGAAGCAGAAGAACTTTGTGACCAAGCTGGGGAGAGTCTCTTGTAGAAGCCTGAAGGGAGGAACCATCAGCTAACCAGAGCCAGAGCCACGGCTCATGCCTCCTGCCTGGTCCCCTCCCCTGCCTCAGCCAGGCTTTCCTCCCTGGTCTCTGCCATCTCCTCCCCAGTGCCCCAAGCCAGGGGCTCAGCCCTGGGGGCTCCAGGACTGAATTTGCAGCCTCCCACTTGGAAAGCTGCCTCTGACCCCTTCCTGGGCCTGCTCCACCAGCCCCTGTGCCTTGGCTCTGGGCCAGCTCTGGGGCTTGGCAGTGCCACCACACCTGAGGGACCTGTGTGACTTGTGCCTGTGGCTCCACGCTGGGGCCACCGGCTCCCTCCCAGTTGTGCCATGGACTGGATGCTCTGGTCCCAGTTGGGATGGCATGTGAGGGCAGAAAGGGAAGGCTGCTTGCTCAAACCTGTGTTGCTGCTAAGAGAGCTGGGGGCAGCTGCCTCGCAGCCGGGCAGGCCCCATCCCCTGCTCTGCCCGGGCACCCCCTGCTCAGGGCTGGGGCAGCTGCTGGTGCTGCTCAGGGAGCCCAGGAACCACCAGCGGGTCCATCCTGAGCTTGTGGGAGGTGCTGGGGGACTCGGGAACCATCTCTCTGTCATAAACTCCAATAAAATACCAAGCTGACTGAGCCTGGGTGTGCCTGTCTGGTGAGTGGGGGCAGAGCTGGCAGCCAGTCCTGCTCTGGTGTTGTCTCTTCCCACCCTGTGGCAAAGGAGGGGGGAACCAGGGATGGGCCTTGGCCACATGTGGCAAAGCTGTGGCCATAACCCAGGAAGCACAGGAGGCAACAAACTTCGGTCAGCATTTTTACCAGCCAGGTACAGAGCTCTGAGCAGCTACTCGGCGGCAGAGGGTTGGTGGCTTTTGGTTCGGTTCTGTTGCTTCTTTGTTTTGGTTCTTAGTTCTTCGTTGTTGGGTTTGGTTTTTTTTGTTACAGTCAAATCAGAATGTGACCCAAGTTTACAGGATCAAAAATTGAGGCTCTACCCCCCCTAGAGCCTGAACACCAGCTGGTGGGGGGGCAGCCAGGCTCCCCCACACACTCCACCCTGTGGCCAGCACGGCTTCAGGCTGGCTGGGCTGGGGGGGGGGGGGGTGGGCAGCAAGTGGGG